AGACTTTGTTGTCACTCTATGTATGTCAGACACACACACAGACAGACAAACACACAGACACACACACAGACACACACACAGACACAAACACACACACACAGACACACACACACACAGACAGACACACACACACACACAGACACACAGACAGACAAACACACACACACACACAGACAACTGACCGGCGGCGGGTCAAGGTCGACCACAGAGGCCACCATCACGCTGTCTCCCATGACCAGCGCCGGGATGACCGTGACCTCCAGCTGGAAGGGCAGGACGGCCAGGGGCTGTAACTCTCGCAGCAGTCGCGTGTAGCAGGCGTCTAGCGGTCCGCGCAGGCTGGCGCGCAGACAGGCGTGGTCGTGGTAGACGCGAGGGACGAGCTGCTCTTTGCAGCGCAGGTAGCCCAGCCAGAAGTCTAACAGTCGCAGGCTAGGGGGACGCACAGACAGACAGATACATACAATATATATATATATATAGGGAGAGACAGATGTAATGGGGGGACGCACAGACAGACACATACATATATATAGATAAATAGATGTAATGGACACACACACACACACACACACACACACACATACACAGATAGACAGACAGGTAGCCCAGCCAGAAGTCTAGCAGTTGCAGGCTGGGGGGACGCACAGACAGACAGATACATACATATATAGATAGATGTAATGGGGGGACACACAGACAGACAGATAGATATATAGATAGATGTAATGAGGGGACGCACAGACAGACAGATACATATATAGATAGATGTAATGGGGGACGCACAGACAGACAGATACATATATAGATAGATGTAATGGGGGGGACGCACAGACCAATGAGCCGCTTCACCGTTCGTCAACGTTTGAAAGCCCGCGGAATCGTTGCCCGACACCCAGCTCGACGCACTCGTCTCCTTCAAAGACACCGTCATGCCAGACTCAACTGGGCGAGTCTGCACCGGTGAAGGCTAAACCGCCAGTGGAATAGAGTGATATTTTCTCACGAGTCCAGATTTCTTTTGGATCGTCACGAAGGAAGGCAGAAAGTCTACCGGAGACGTCATGAACGTTATTTACCTCAGTGTGTCAGTGCTGTTGCTGACAAGCGTAGCATTATGGCATGGGCATCCATAAACTGATTAATTCGATCTTGTCATTATCGACGGTAATCTGACTGCCCAGAGATACATCAATGACGTTCTCCATCCACACCTTCTGTCGTTCCTGGCTCGCCACAGGAACAATCTGGTGTTCCAGCAGGACAAATCACCAGCACACCGTGCCTTTGTTACCCACAGATTCTTACAACAAAAATGACGTATGTGTTATAACACCGTTGCCAGTATTATCCCCAGATTTAAACGTGATTGAGCACCTCTGGGACAAGATGGACTAGGAAATTTGCACCCTTTAGCCACCCCCAACGACAATCTCACAACTGCAGCGATCATTGATTGATGCTCGGAATACTATTCCCCAGCATTTCTCCAACGACCTGTGCAGTCAATGAAGCAGAGATGCATTGTAGTCATCAACGCTGGCGGGAGTTGCACCCGTTACTAATTCTGGGATTTTGGACATTCGAATCGGTGTTATGAATTTCTAATAAAACGTGTGCTATTGATCGTTTTTCTTAGGTTTTTTGTCTGCACTTATAGAAAAAATGGCACACCTTTCAAAATCCATTGGCAATACGGCATTATTACGATAAAGAACGGAAATAATGCACAGAACGTAGGGTGTCCACTTTCTTTTGCTCGTCAGTGTAGATAGATGTAATGGGGGGACACACAGACAGACAGATAGATAGATAGATAGATAGATGTAATGGGGGGACACACAGACAGACAGATAGATAGACAGATAGATGTAATGGGGGGACACACAGACAGACAGATAGATAGACAGATAGATAGATGTAATGGGGGGACGCACAGACAGACAGATATATAGATAGATAGATGTAATGGGGGGACACACAGACAGACAGACAGATATATAGATAGATAGATGTAATGGGGGGACACACAGACAGACAGATAGATAGATAGATAGATAGATGTAATGGGGGGACACACAGACAGACAGATATATACATAGATAGATGTAATGGGGGGACACACAGACAGACAGATAGATATATAGATAGATAGATGTAATGGGGGGACGCACAGACAGACAGATAGATATATAGATAGATAGATGTAATGGGGAGACGCACAGACAGACAGATAGATATAAATATAGATAGATAGATGTAATGGGGGGACGCACAGACAGACAGATAGATATATAGATAGATGTAATGGGGGGACACACAGACAGACAGATAGATAGATAGATAGATAGA